GACAACCACGACACCAATCGTGGATAGAAGAAGTATGAAATTTGAAAGAGTGGAAGTACGAGAGAGAGATAGAGCAGTTCTATATAGACATATGTTGTAAGCAATCTTTTTGCCATGCTACTATGTCACATGCTGTCTGTGTCAAAGTATATGTTATAGATGTCACCTGTGCTTGAACCCAGTAGTAGCTTGAGAATAGGACAGTGAGACTTAAGCCACTGATCTATACCCGAACGGGCAAAAATAATGCTCTCAACATGAGCTCTTGAGCACACGGTCATTTAAATTGATAGTATTGAACACATTACTTACTATCACTCTATTGTCTTCTATATTGTATATTTTCGTTGCCTCTTTAGAGCTGCTACATGCGATCCTCAAAGCGCATTTTTTTTCTTGATTTGTTTTATGTCGATCTTGTTTTCCGTGGTGAGTACCAATGCTACCGACGCGACGCCAGGGAGACAGCTCCCACGCTGTACTCTAACCTCAACCCATCAACTCATGAACAGGGAACCAACAGTTTTCACTTCCCGGCGACGCCGACTGGGAGTGAACCCAGGCCTTTTGGGATGAGAGGTTATCACGCTTACCACTTAACCACCGGCACCACTTACGAAAGATATCTAAATTATAGAAACGGAAATAATGAATATTTCCTCCAACATTTGAGTAATTATCGTTTTTGGGAAAACTTTTGAATGTTTTTCCAATAAAAATTTCCCTGTTCGTTTCTGAACCAATTGGGTTTTTGGTCTAATTTCCGTCCTACTAAGCACACCCCGTGCTTCACCTCACTCTTCTGAACGAGTTTAAACAAAAAAAAATTGAATATTTCTGTCAAAAATGACTTCTAAATTTATTCACCTTTCCATACGTACCGTTGGATTTGATAAAGAGTCACCTATTGTTGAGATATTGATTAAAATCTAACATTGCTTCTTGATTCAAAATTCGTTCTACGAGTTTCAATTCCGTCCTAACGCATTGAAACACTTTTAGATTTTCTTCGTCCTACGGATAAACGTAGAAAAAGGGGATTCGCTAGGAGTGCTTCTTTTGTTTTGAGAACAATGAGCGTAAATATTCATACATTGCGCTCTAACAGGATTTATGTTGTAGCTAATGAACTAACGCATAGGAACAAACCTATTATTGATTTGTGCACGGTGAAATAATTGATATTATTGATCTTTTCTGATCGATAGAACGGAAATGTGCGATTACGACGAAGTAGCGCTCTACCTTAGTACTCACACTTACGACTTTGCTCGGGTTGCGAGAAGTATGTTGCATATTTCTAGATAGAGCTGGAATTAGGGCGTAGCAGTCTTTGTAAATAGTGACTTCTCTCGTTGATTTCTGGGAAATCAAGGCATGGTAATGTCGCTTTGCCAGCGAGAGTCATGACTTTCGAGAAATCATCGAGAGAAGTCATTGTTTACAAAAGCGGTTGTGCCCTAATTCCAGCTCTATCTAGAATTATGCATATTTGTTTTCCTTTGCAACGGTATTTAACTAGTATTTAATAATGCTAATCACAATTCTCAAATCATGAGATATATTACATGCTTTAGCCTGTTTAGTATTCATATACACACTCATACCACAATCATAACAAAAGTCATGTAACAATGCTTTTCGAAACACCAAGTACTATCTAGTTAGATTTATTTTCCGCCCCGTGTTTTCGTAGCTAGAGGAGTGTAGCGACGGGCAAGCGTCTTGAAGAAGCTTCTTTTAGAAGTCACTTTAAAAACCTTTCTTCAGAAGTTCTGTTAGAGAGAAAACGGTACATGTGCGTTGCTACTCAGGTTTATTAATCTGTCCATTAGGATGGCATAAAATAGCGCGCAATTGATTTCATATTAAGTCCTGATAATTCTTTCAAATTTTGGATGCGAACTCACACTGCACTAGCTCTTTGAAGTTTATATGGGAACTACTATGCGAAATATAAGGAGTAGGCTGTGCGTGTGTTCCAACCTGACGTTTGTTTTTTTCAGTGGAGTTTTTTTAATCTTTAATCGGTTGCTGATTTGGCCATAACCAGGCCCAGGAGACAATTTCTAGTTCCTCATTGTAGATCCCTATTATTTGTCGCTGAGAAGCTGTTCCGAAGCAAAGTAGAACCTCCACGAGGCGTCCCATCATTCGTCCCATCATTAGTTCCATCATTCGTTGAGTCGCAGCGTTGAACCTGACTATTGGCCACGAAAAGGCTTGCCAATGCACATCAAAAATCGACTACATACATCCGAACATTTGTTTATCTCAAATCGAAGGAAGATATTCCGCGCAACTACCATAAACCGGACTAGTTCATGTTGATCTTCGTCAAGCTTCGTCTACAATTTGGACTTCTACATCAACACATGTCAGGCAGCCTTCAGGTTCAATTGGCTAAACTTGGTGGGTTCGTTTCATTTTGTAACTTTTATATATTTTCAAACCAGTAAAGTTGGGAGATCACCTTTTTGTGGTGCGTTACTGGTATAAGATCTACCACGGAACCCGGGCTTGGTCACTGATAATGACAATAAAATAAATAAACTTGAATAAGTAAGAAGGGTCTGATCACACCATAGGTGGATAAATTCGGGTTTTTTTTTATTTGATTTTACATTGTGATAATTGTTAGTTGGGTTGTCTTCTATATTGTATATTTTCGTTGCCTCTTTAGAGCTGCTACATGCGATCCTCAAAGCGCATTTTTTTTTCTTGATTTGTTTTATGTCGATCTTGTTTTCCGTGCTGAGTACCAATGCTACTGACGCGACGCCAGGGAGACAGCTCCCACTCTGTACTCTAACTATCAACCCATCAACTCATGAACAGGGAACCAACGGTTTTCACTTTCCGGCGACGCCGACTGGGAGTGAACCTGCATACATTTTCCATACAGAACGACGTAAAGCTGACGAGATTAGTTTCCACGGAGCGGCCAGGTAAGAAACCATGTTGACATGTACTTATGTAATGCTTGCAGGAAGCAAACAATCTCTCATTTATCAGCGACTCAAACACCCTAGATTCAACCCCAAGCGAGGTAATCCCACGGTAGTTTTCCACATTGCGTTTGTCTCCTTTCTTGAAAACAGGGAACATAGTAGACCGTTTCCATAGTGCGGAAAATTTCTGTTGACGAAGTGACAGGTTGAAGAGCAAGGACAACGGAGCAGCTAAGATATCGGAGCATTTTTTTAGGACTGCAGATGGAATAACACTCGGACCTGGGGAAAATGATGATTTGGTTTTTCTCATCACTGAGAGAACCATTTGTACATCTACGGCAAAAACATGCATGTTTACGACGTCGGTTGGCACATCACGGACGGCTCGCTTAATTTCTGCTTGCGATAAGGGAGTCATTCGAGAAGACGCTTAAGAAGTGCCTAGCAAATAGGCTGCATTTGTCCTCAGTTGTCAATGCTACGTCATTGCCGAGAAACATTTTTGACGGCAGTCCAGTTTCCTTCCTCTTAGTATTCACAAACGACCAGAATCCCTTGGGGTGGCATTGCAGATTATGTTGAGTACGAATTACATACCTCTTGTAAGGAAGCTTGATGTGATGCATCTTCGATGTGAAACATATATCAAATAGACAAGAAAAATGATGTAGGTATATATAATTTTCCAGGATGCTTTCAAGAACTGGCTGTGCTGGTGTTAGATTAGAATAGTACTCGCACTTACGACCCATTTCAATCCTCAACTATCGATTTGTTTACAAACATTGATGACAGAGCAGAATAGTTCTGCCAATATCGTCAATGTCATAACTGAAACACTAGCGCCTCTACATTCGACATTCCATGCTAATTAAAATCAACAGTTTCATTACTTTTCACAAGTTTTCATTTGAGCTTGGACATCTATTCTCTTTAGTTTTGATCAATTTAATAAGAATTCGTTTTATAATCGCGTGCTATAATGCATGAACATAATGAAACATTTTAAAGTCGGAAATATTTTGCCAGCAATTTACATTTCACAATGGTACTTGATCGATCTCTTTGGCTCATGAAATATCATAATCGAAAATCACATATTAATATAAAATGTCTGAGTCACGCAGCAAAAAAAGTGCACAATCAAAACCACGCTCATGGGTCCACATTTATCAAAGAAAGTGCGAATATTCGTTGAATGACAGTGACATAAATTATGAAAAGTAGGTAGACGCGGTGATAACCAAACTGTGAAATGTAAATACACGACTCACACGTCCAGCAGCTCATGGCTTCGGATGCATCTTCTTCTTTGCAAAATTACAGACTCTCGCTTCGAAAACTGGTTCATCAACTTTTCTTCGCTGTGTGCCAATCAATCCTATGACAACAAGCAATCCATCAGCTGATCGCAACAAGCCAACGTGAAGGCGCAGCTTGATTTAAGTAGTCGTTCACAATACTATTCGTACTTACTAAATTAAAGCAATGGTCACGGTTGCTAAAGAATTTACCATCACCAAAGAAATGCGAACCCGATTCGGTCTTTTAGGCAGTAGGGAACTGCATAGATCGGCTCCCCTCGGTGGGGTGGCTTCGACGTTGGCCATTGAATGACGTGGGCGATTGAAATCGAAAGTTGGAAGGATTGCCTGGCTACCGGATGATGGCGACGGCAACGGTGGCGGTACTTGGATCGGGTATTAGTCCGCACGGTAATAGCAGAGTTGCTCACGCCGACAGACACTGATGGATCAACCCACCGCAGACTTAATCAATGGCTATGGGCATGCATCCAGTATGTATAATACCTACCGCAACTCGTAAGTAATATTAGTGCAGATGATGGCGCGCCGGGTGATAGTGTGGGAGGATCGTCAGTAGGCAAATCGCACAGCGATGTACGCCGTCGCTGCGGTGGATGCCATGGGGTGGCGGGGAGAATCAGTTTACTTTTTCTTTCAATTATTTTTTTCATTTGTTGACTCAGTTACACAAAAAGATAAAGAGAAAAAAAATGTCCCGTGTGGAGCTGGTGTAGGTTCGCATAAGTGGACGTCGTCTCGGTTGCCGCAGTGAGTGCGAGGAAGCCAACACGAGGAAGTCGACCAAGCTTCGTTCCCGAAGGCGGTGTTCCGAGATTTTTCGAAACCAAGAGTATCATTGCAGCAGTAGATTCGGGTCGGCGGTGCAGTAGTCGTGCGAGTTAATCGAATTGTCGTCGTTGTTGGTCGCATCCAGATCGGAAGCGTCGGGCTTCGATCAAGAGCGATCTTGGTGCGCGACGTAGAATGAGGATATTCGTCATAGTCGTGTGTAAATTGGCCATTCTGACGTACTGTGGACGAACAACAGTGAGGAGTGAAAGTGATTCGGTGCAGACGACTCAGGTGGTGGATAGGTTGGAAAATTTGAACAGTCTGTATGGGGCGAAGCGAAACATCGACGAAGCGGAACGCAATAAGGTCAACTACGATGTTTACGTAACGCCGGTTATGTCCCGGTACGCGAAGTTGCGGTCCAGGAATCCGTTGCTGTCGTGGCTGGCGAATGTGCTGAACTTTGGCGGTGGCCAGTCGGAAACGGGCTCGGATGCGGCAGCCAAACCGGTGGAATGTCCAAAGTGCAGTAAATATGAGAATTATTTGAAATGATGGAATAATTATTGCATTTACAGTACATACATGATTAGTCATCAGACCAGATCTAATTAACCAGATTACACTGCTTCCGGCACGTAGATCACTCTCAGAGATAGTTCAAGTGATAAATTCAATACGTCGTTATCAAATTAGCTTAATTATGATGCCTTTCCTCGGCGAAGCATTCTTCTTATCTAGTTTTGATATGTAGCTGAGTTAGTAGTGGCAACAGATGCGCCCCCGGTATCTATTTGAGGCCCATTTACAATATTTGTTGTGACGTTTTCTAAAATTTTTAATCTAGGTACTTCAGCTACTTCAGTAACTTACCAGCCTTCATTGTTATGATATATATATTTAAGTGTTTTTGCTGTGTTCCTGCATTGGAAATTCAGTATTTTAAATAGGTTTTCTATACCTGAATGTCAGTATAACAATTGAAATCTTAAAAATAAAAACTTAAACTAAATCTTATCTAAGTATAATGGGAATTAATCATTGCAATCGAGGATTGCAACGATTTTTGCCTGGAATAATTTATTATTTTGTTGGGCATTTGTTCTAAAGTCTCTTCATTTGAAATTTTATAGAAGAGGGATGCAACTTCAAAATCCTTTGAAGTGTTTTTCCCTGGCAGTGCAACCAAATTGGCACAATATAAAGCATGGCTGGTCTAAAAACTTGTTTAAATATCAGAAATTTATTCGTCCGGCAAAGTTTGAATTTCCTGTTTATAAGAGGATACAAACAGTTTATATATTTAGTCCATTTGGCTTGAATACTCTCAATGTGATCTTTAAAAGTTAATCTTTTGTCAAATACTAATCCAAGATATTTCACATGACTTGACCAAGAAATTGGAACACCGTTCATAATCACTATGTGACTACTAGTCGGATTCAAAAAGGAAGTTCTAGTTTTATGTGAAAATAAAGCATGGTCCACTTAGTAAAAAAGTCCACTAGAAAAAAATACGAAACGAATTATTCGTTGCGGATTCGATGGGATTCTCGAACTTTTCCCTTAATACGACCCATCAAGTGATACACAACTAGAGCTTCCATTTCCCGGTGGTTTTCACCATCCTGGGATTCGGAAAATATTTATTTGATATCCCGGGAAATCCCGGGATCCCGGGAAGTCAATAAAGGCAGTAAATTGTTTTAATATTCGTATGTATCTTATTTCTTTTAGAAGAATGATTAAAAAAGGAGATTTCTTTAATACTAGGGACACCAGATTTAACAACATATCTTCATTTTGAAGACATTTAAAATTCTGTGAAGGCAGATATGCAGACATTTTGAAGACATTTCATGATATGTGAAGTTGTTCCAAGAAATGCGGAAGCTGAAGCAGACTTCCGATGTATTTTTTTTTATTTTAAGCTGGCATATGAAGATTTTTGTTAAATAAATGAAGTTTTTGATTTCATATTTTAAGCTTCTTCCTGAATATGTTGAATATGAACAATGTAACCAAAATCGGATGTTTCGAAATAAAACATGATCCAATTGAATATTCACAGGACTTTCACGGAATTATTCGATTAGCTGGAGATCTTTTGAATACTTCCTGATCAACGTTCAGTTTTAGGAGAATATCTTCAAAATAATACTTGATCAACCTGAAGCATTGAAAAATATCCAGAGGACTTTATTGAAATCTTCGATCAGCTGGAGATCTTTTAAGTACTTCCTAGCCGATCTGCCATCTTGAGAGAGTCAATTGAATGTTTGACCAGTTTAAGATCTTCAGATTTCCTGATCAACCTGAAATTACTAAATCTGACCAACCAGTTATCTTGAGAGACTATCTAGAGACGTTATTTGAATTTTACGAACAGTTGAATTATCTCAAGAATAATAATTGATCGACCTGAAGTCTTGAAAAATATCCAGAGGTCTTTACATCTCCGACCAGCTGTACATCCTTTAAATACTCTCTCATCAAACTTCCGTCTGGGAAGAATGTCAAGAAGACGTCTTTTGAATTTTTGAACACTTGCAAATTTCAGAACATTACTTGATTAACTTGGAAAGTCTTGAATAATATCCAGAGATATCATCACAAATCCGTGAATATCAGTTATACGAGGATTCGTGTACTTTCAAGAAGTTTCTTGAACTTAAACTCAGTTCCATGAACTCAAAGCCTATATAAAGTTTCCTGAATATGTAGAATATTCTATGAAATCCTGGGATTTTTCGTCAACTTATTCGAAGTTCCCAGTACTTCAAAGATTTTTCCATAGCTTACATCTTTTATTTTTTCGATGGGTACAACTGAATTTCTGCCCAGCTTGCTTAACTTGTACGAATTTCAAATAATTCAAGCGATGTTCCGTAATCATCGTCCACGAAGTTGTTTAACATTCTACGAAGTATCCTGAAGATCTATGATGTTCCCTGAACTTTTACAAAGCTCCACGAACTTCTATGAAGTTCTCTAAAATCAAATGAATGTCTCTTGACATCTAAGAAGTTCCCTAATGGGTCGTGATATTATGTTTGTCAGCCAAACTGCACAATAGTCTGTGCAGATCATGAAATGTCGCCGCCAAAAGCTACTTTCTTCTCCGGTTAGGGAGAGTCTTTCGCTTACTAGGTCAGACACTGTTTCTCGATTCTAGGAGCTACTTTTTTCTCCGGTTAAGGAGAGAAGTTTTCACTTCCAAGTCAAGAGTTCTTCTAGGAGCTACTTTTTTCTCCGGTTAAGGAGAGAAGTTTTCACTTCTAGGCCGAAAGTTCTTTCGGATTCAAAAAGAGAAGAATCTGGAGTAACCTACGAAACTTAATTTTATTCAACAAAATTGTACAAAGTGATCTTACGGCTACGTGTTGCATTAGCAACTTATAATTATGTAAAACTTTTACATGATTTGTCCAGGGTTTAACATATCCCTTTCAATACCGAACTTTAACCTAATTTGCCTATTCTAATTAGCTAGGATTCCGATCGCCCTTGAAAGGGTAAATTTGTGTTGTTCAGGCCTTATACAGTGGGGGAAATTCGTTTAAACGCAATGTCATTTTTGCGTTTATTTTCAACACAAAAGATCGAGACAAAAAATCAAATATAGTTTGTCATAGCCCATCAGAAGTCTCGTATTTGAGAACACAATTTGATTGGAAGTTCATAATGACTTTTGAAAAAATCCCAAAAAAGGTGATTTTGGGGGGAAATTCGTTTAAACGCACTTTTAGTTTTATTAATCAAATCGAGTTCACAGTTCAAAAATCAACAATAAACAATAGTTAATACTTCGTTTGCTTTCCGTTTTTCTGAATAGTTTCGAAAATTCTGTTCGGCATTGATTTCACCAGCTTCTGCAGAGTTGTATCAGGTATCAAGCTCCAGGCTTCTCTTACGGCTGACTCAAGTTCACGAACTGTTTTAAACTGCCTTCCGCCTTTGTAAACCTGTCGTGCCAGGATGCCCCACAAGTTCTCGATAGGATTTAGATCCGGACTACGAGCTGGCCAATCCAAAAGACTGATGTCTCGTTCAGAAAACCATTTCAAAGATTGCTTGCTGACATGAATTGCTGCATTATCCTGTTGAAATACGAAATTTTCCGGCATAACGTCTTCAGTAAACGGGATCAAAACATCTTCCAGAAGCTCCAAGTACTTTCCCGAATTCATCCTGGTTGAAATGGTGGCAATAGGGGTCTTTCCATGGATCGAAAAAGCGGCCCAACACATTAGAGTACCACCTCCAAAGTTCCTGCTCAACTTAACCTGCGGAGATTTCCTCAAATCGTGCCAATAATATGCGGTGCAGTCTGGGCCGTCCAAATTGAATTTCTTCTCGTCAGAAAAAATAACATTGTCCCATTCCGTAGTCCAAGACATGTATTTTTTAGCGAAATTCAATCTGGCGCTAATGTGGGCCGGTTGAAGATTGGTTTTTTTTTGCTTTTTTGGTGTACTTTAAGTGGCCACTTCCATGTAGAATCTGCCGTACCCGCCTCTTAGAAATGGAAAGCCCCATTTCTTGCTTGATTTGCGCAGCAGAGAAGTTTCCAGAGTCTCCCATTTGTATGATTTGGTTTTGGACACGGTTGGTGATCTTCGAATTTCCCTTTGTTTTCTTTTTTACGCCATACGTCTTGCCTTTTTTCAGCAGGTTCCTGATTGCTGCTTCCGATCTGTGGATCACACGTGCAATTTTGCGATTGCTCTCACCGCGACTTTTGAGTTCTCGAACCAGTATTTGCTCCGACTGGCTTAAATACTTTCCTTTACCCATTTTGCCGAAAACAAGCAACAACTACCGCGCAACGCAAATTTAAACTCGTGTTAATGGCGAACGAGGGCTATACAGTGTAAATATGACAGATGCGCAAGATAACAGGAGCATAGGTACGCTCAATGCGGCTTTACGTTAGTGTGCGTTTAAACGAATTTCCCCTCTAAAATCACCTTTATTGGATTTTTTCAGAGACCACAATGAACTTCCATTCAAATTGTGTTCTCAAATACGAGACTTCTGATGGGCTATGACAAACTATATTTGATTTTTTGTCTCGATCTTTTGTGTTGAAAATAAACGCAAAAATGACATTGCGTTTAAACGAATTTCCCCCACTGTATACTATGCCCTCTCAGATCTGGGATTTCTCAGATATCTTGTAAGTTTATTTATTTTCGTAACTCAGATCTGATATGGCTCTACAAATAAGAATGAGACATTTGTAACGTTTAAACATTATAATTATATCCTTCGTTAAGGATAAACAGAGAGGGAAAGCTAAACGTAACCTAGATGCGCAAGCATGTCATGCGTGGGCGTGTTTATCCTACTTGAACGCAAAAACGTTCCTAAGTAAATACTGCAGTTAGATTATGTAAAACGAGCTCTCGCTCCTTTTGCCCTACTTTTCATTTCATATTCTTGGCCTTGGTATCAACGTCAGCTAGGGCTATGCAAACGAGATGCAACTATGTGGTTATCTTATGGTTTTGGTGTTAAATTAATTGC